GTGGAACACCCCCCCCCCCCCCAAAGAGAACAAAGAATGAAACAATAGGCCTTTAAAAAAAAATAATTTTTAAAAAATTTCAAAACATTTTTAAAAAGAGTTGTTCATGGTACGCCTACCTGTCATCGATTCAAATTAGTCAAATACTGCTAGCAAATATCGATATATTTAATGATTCAAATTTTTAAGGCAAATCTAGTTATCATCTTCGATTTCAAATATATAAAAATCTTCTGTTTGATTAAACCTACCTTCCCAGCCATCTAAATGAAAATAATTCAAATATTTTGAAATGGTTCTTGAAAAAATATTTATCCTTATTATGATGAAACTGAATATGTACTATGTAATTAAAACACATTTCCATTTATTGGGATCAATTAGAGAAATATATTTTTTTTCTTAATCGTCAAAAACAGACAATAATTTTACAATTTCGATTTCTTATTAAAAATGCGATAAACTTTAAAAATAGGGTGGGCTTTAAATATCATCTTTCTTGAAAAAAAAGCATATTGTAAATGTAGTTGATTCCATGATTTTTGAGCTAGATAAAAAATAAAATTTTAAAAAGCTTTTAAAAAATTCAATACCTCTTTAACAAATTTAGATTTATCGCGCACATACTAATGGCATTCAGTAATGTTCGAATAGTAATGGTGCACCGTCATGTCCGCATAAAAATGATGCACTGTCATGTAGCTAAGGTTAGTGCCATCGGGGCTGGTCTAGCTTTTCGCTACACCCTCCCCCCTCCAACCCACCTTACCACCATGCAATTGACAAAAAAATGCCGCCCCTAAATACAAGAATAAGAGTGCCTGGGGGGGGGAGGGGCGGAACGCCCTCTCTTCACAATCCTTCCTACGCCACCAGCTCATGGATTTGTGTTTTATCTCCTTCATATCATTACGCCAACGGTGAAAACAAAAAAAATGACCCCATTTACACAACAGCATCTATTACAGTAAACTTGGGTAATTTAAAAAAAAAAAAAGAATTAAATAAAAAAGGAAGAAAGAAAAAGGTAGCAACATTTTTGAAAGTTTTCATTTCATTTCCTTTGAACGTGTATTACGATGTCAGTACGTTGTTGTGACGTAACACTCCGGCACGGCTGACTCCTCCATGATTTCAATCTTCATTTATTCATGAAGTTCACTGATCGGATGTTTTTTTGTTTATGCCAGAGAAATAATTTAATTCAGATATCTTGTGTTGGAATTGTTTTAGCAGGATAATGTGGGAGGTATTAAATTTTGTATTTATTTGATGTGCTGAAAATGACTGTACAATGCAATCAAAAACATTTCCATTTAATTGGATCAATAAAAGAATCTTATCTTATCTTATCTTACCTTATCCTTATGAAGTAGGTAAAAAGGAATAAACATATTAAATGAAAAGTATACAACAAGATTACTTACTATTAAGTGACAATTAAAAAAAGAATTTATATAATAATGTTAAAAAAATAACACAGGTTTAGATTCACCTGCATTTCCAAGCAACCTTTCTGTTTCTCGTTTGATACGAAACTCAAGTCGGATAATCGTCAAAATGCATTCCTTGATTTTAAATTTCTCAAAAATTTCCTGGGGATGGGTTCATACCTCTCCAGACCCCTTTCATTTTCAACACCCAAACCCGATAGAAGTGTTCCTTAATGGCACCTTGTCATCTATTCAAAGGAACATGTTGATGTGAGTGATATGGTGCTTTTCTTAACTGAAAAAAAATTGCCTCTCTTCCATATTGTAAAAATAGGCCCACTATATTTATTGTATTTTAGAATCCAGGGGTGACAATTAAGGTGGGACCAACGGTATACACCGAGGGTGCCAAAACTGGGTTAACTGATTTTATGCAGGGAGTGGGCGCAAGATTCAGAGCTGTCGCTGGTTGCCATTATGACTTACGTGTTTATAAATGCACTGCATCCTGAACACCTGTTCGCGCCTTGGATCTAATTCTCCGCAGAAACTGTCATGTAACGTGCAACCGTCCTACTTGTAATTGACAAATACCCTTATCATGACTGGAAAAGAATTAACAGGCCGTCTCATGAGTTGAGTTGTCGCATAAAGTCTTTTTTCAAGTCTTTAGTGCAATTTAAAAAAATAATATTTGGATGTCTTGAAGTGTATTTAAATAGAATATGGCGATGATCATTTACAGATTATCACAGTCAGAATTTTAATTTTTAATAAAGACCACTCATAAGTATGATACACCACAGAGACCAAACACTGATGTCACTATGCAAAACATAAAATCTGCCTGCCATGTAAGAGAAGAAGATCGGAACTGCGTGGGCGACAGTGCTCCTCTCTACCTTGAACCAGCCTCTTCCCTCTGACACGAGTGCATGCGTGGAACGACCTAACATCGCGTCACTGGAACTATGAAGCACACAGCTCCAAAGAAGCACTTTGGTTGCCTTTTTTCCACCTGAGATGAATGGCGACAACCAAATGACGATGTGCATTACTGATGATAGTATTATATATTATGAAAAAGTGTTAAAGAAAGAAAGAAAGAAAGAAAGAAAGAAAGAAAGAAAGAAAGAAAGAAAGAAAGAAAGAAAGAAAGAAAGAAAGAAAGAAAGAAAGAAAGAACGAAAGAAAGAAAGAAAGAAATAAAGAAAGAAAGAAAGAAATAAAGAAAGAAATAAAGAAAGAAAACAAAAATGTTTGTAATAAATATATAAATATATTATTTTGGAATGACTAAACAGTGCTTTAGATTTTAATTCCTCTGATTGATTCACCACCCAGCCCTCCTGTATAAATACAACGCCTCAATCCCACGACCACTGCTGTACTTTCCCCTGGTCGATTGTACGGTTAGGGACGAAAGACAACAGCGTAATATAAATATTATCACATGTGTCTCTGTTTGATGGCTGGCGAAATATGATCCGTTTTGGGGGCTGGTGAGGAGGGTGTCCCCACGGGAATGTCAAGGTGAGTGTCTGATTAAAGAAATTTAATATTCGTTTACATCTTTTTTTCTAAGTGTTAAACAGGATGTGGTGGAGCAGGTCAAGGGCCCTACATGGGCTGTAGTGCCACTGATGATGATGATGATGATTGCATTCTTTTCAAAGTATTCAATTGTAAAACACCCACGACTTCTTCACTACTTCTATTATTATTATTATTATTATTATTACTATTATTACTATTATTATTATTGTTATTATTATTATTATTATTATTATTATTATCATTATTACTATTGTCAGTAATAACCCGCCCAACAATGGCAGCGGCTATGCACGAATGAAGGCGGTCGTGGGAAAGGAGAGGGGGGGGGGAAGCGGTTCGCCCCTTGTGCCACTTTTTTCTTTATATTGGGGTGGGGTGAGGACATTTCGGCGCAAAGCATCAATTAATTTCAGGACACAAAATATACGTTAATTTTACTATCAATCACTACTCATTATTATGAGATAGTGGAACTCAAATTGGCTAAATTATAAACATTGTATTTAGTATTTCATTCTGACTCCGTTAAGTTGAAAAAATGGAGCGAAGTAGGAAAAGAAACAACACAAAAAAAAACCCAATACAAGCTGTCAACTAGGGGATTGTTAACAAAGGGCGGTAACTGAGAGATATTTGCTTTTGATTACCCTGAGTGACTTAAAATAACAAACTCAACGCATGACTATGTGACGTCAGTGTTGGCCTATGTGACGTCAGTGTTCGGCTATGAGACGTCAATGCCTACATGCGTGACGTCAATGTCTACCTATGTGACGTCAATGCCAAACTATGTGGCATCGATACCCACCTATGTGACGTCAATGCCTTCCTGCGTGACGTCAATGCCTACCTGTGTGATAAAAGAAAACAAAAATGCTTTAGAATTCTTCGGCGCACAGAAGTTAGGACTCAGGAGAAGTTAGGATTCAGGAGAAGTTAGGATTCAGGAGAAGTTAGGATTCAGGACAAGTTAGGACTCAGGAGAAGTTAGAATTCAGGAGAAGTTAGGGTTCAGGAGAAGTTAGGACTCAGTAGAAGTTAGGATTCAGGAAAAGTTAGGATTCAGGAGAAGTTAGGATTCAGGAGAAGTTAGGACTCAGGAGAAGTTAGGACTCAGGAGAAGTTAGGACTCAGGAGAAGTTAGGATTCAGGAGAAGTTAGGATTCAGGAGAAGTTAGGATTCAGGAAAAGTTAGGAGTCAGGAGAAGTTAGTATTCAGGAGAAGTTAGGACTCAGGAGAAGTTAGGGTTCAGGAGAAGTTAGGATTCAGGAGAAGTTAGGATTCAGGAGAAGTTAGGACTCGGGAGAAGTTAGGATTCAGGAGAAGTTAGGATTCAGGAGAAGTTAGGATTCAGGAGAAGTTAGGACTCGGGAGAAGTTAGGATTTAGGAGAAGTTAGGATTCAGGAGAAGTTAGGATTCAGGAGAAGTTAGGATTCAGGAGAAGTTAGGACTCGGGAGAAGTTAGGATTTAGGAGAAGTTAGGATTCAGGAGAAGCTTCCATTTTTTATATTAATGTTAAATGCAACATTGTGATTTTATGCCCGTGATTGTAATACAGTTCACCATTAGTCGAAGTTCCATAAATCTCTATACTAACTTAATTGTAATTTCAACGCTTCGATTTTCTGCCACCCCTTGGGATCTGTTACCCTAAATAGAATATGTTTTCTTTTGGTCTCATAGTAAGTCTACCAATGCGATTATGACTTTGAACATGATCATGTGTTTGCAATATCATTTTTCAGATTATACTTTGTCCAATTAAGGCTTTTTAGGCACAGCGTAAAGTCAACATAGGAACAAACAGCAGTTGCATATTCCTAGCCCATAGCGATTGTAGTGCGCTCCTCGGGGTTGAAGCCCTGCGGCTAAAGGAATGAATATGAAGTACGATGACAATGATACAGAAAACTAAATTAAAATATGAAACCAAATACCCCCTCAATGCTTATACAATTTGTTTTTAATATAAAAAAGGCCAGAATTTATAAACTGCTTCGTTAACTAGTCGGCCGGGATGCTAATTGATAACTCAGCCCCACAACTCACTCGACGCACTCGGGCAGAATTAGGTCTATAGACACATCCGGGCAGAATTAGGTCTATAGACACATCCGGGCAGAATTAGGTCTATAGACACATCCGGGCAGAATTAGGTCTATAGACACATCCGGGCAGAATTAGGTCTATAGACACATCCGGGCAGAATTAGGTCAATAGACACATCCGGGCAGAATTAGGTCTATAGACACATCCGGGCAGAATTAGGTCTATAGACACATCCGGGCAGAATTAGGTCTATAGACACATCCCGGGCAGAATTAGGTCTATAGACACATCCGGGCAGAATTAGGTCTATAAACACATCCGTGCAGAATTAGGTCTATAGACACATCCGGGCAGAATTAGGTCTATAGACACATCCGGGCAGAATTAGGTCTATAGACACATCCGGGTAGAATTATGTCATTATTTATTAAATGCCTTTTTGTGACGATAGCGAATCAGCATTTTTTAAAATAAATAATTCACTAATAATGAAGTTCAAACAAATTAATTAGTTTATTATTTTATAATGGTTTCGATAAATAATATTATTTTAAAATATATTACTATTATGTAGTATTAAGTTATTATTGCTTAAAAAAAATCATAGCGATCTCTTTGTTTTGATTAGTGCAATACTTAATTCAGGTGTGCTCAAATCTGAATCAATGCATTTTGAATTTAACAACATTTTTCGGGTAGTTGGCACAATGAGCCCCCCCCCCCCAGCTCCCTACCCCACTGCCCCCAACTTCGCTTTGGATCCTTCAGAGCCCTTGATTTCCCCTCCACACATTTCCGCATATACCAGGGGCGGCGCTATTTCAAGTGTCGTTATTACCAAGTTTTCCCTTTACCAAAATGCACTATATATTTATNCCCCCCCCCCCCCCCCCCCCGGGTGCCACAATGATAAAAGAAGGCGAAATTTGTGACGTGGACAAAAAAGTAAACTATTAACTTTGAAAGTTGCGTGCTTCAAAGTCACGTGACGGCTCTAAGGAGTATGTAAACTACATAGTGTGAGAGAACGCAGCTGTAAATAACGCATGAGCGAGATATGAAAAAATAAATCAATTACAAATATTTTTAAAAAACTAATGAAGGGGATTCAGGGAGTGGGACATGGAACTAACCTGGTATGATAACCACATAAGCAATTTGAATGAATTCTCCAATTATTTAAGAACATTATTTTAACAAAATTTGTTCCGATTTTAGATTAACGTTTTATATTCATCTCGTCAGAAAGCAGATTTAAAAACGTTTTATTCCTCGAGTCACTGACTCGGTTCTAAAACCACGCAGATAGTTTTTGCAGCTGTGTGTGTCATGAAGAGTACAGACTCTTGTCGAACAAATAGACACGTGAAGTAACGAGTACGGAGTCTTGTTGACAACAGACACGTGCTGTGACGTGCTATTGTGACAGCTGCAAGCAATCTTGTTACTTTAGAAACGAGGCAAGAGGAGGTGTTCATTATTTTTAGACAGGCGTACGAACGTTGGAGGACAAGACTCACTTCATTGTTTGTGTCGCTTTTAACATTTCATTATTAAAGAACTTTGTCATACGCCCATTTCAAAATATTGCTTTTATTATTTTTTCTTAACAAAAGCATTAATTTTTTTTTTTTTTTTTTTTTTTTGAAAAAAAGCAAAGATTTTTTTTATGGCTAAAAGACTCTACGACTTAATTTTTAATTTAAACAAAAAAATCTTTTAGATTTTTTAAGTTCTAGTTTGTAACTTTTTTTACAATTATTATATCAACGGATTATCAACAATTAAAATAAAATTATACTTGCAATTTTTTTAAAATTTTATTAAGCATTATGAATAATACGCTCGCATTCTTTTCTATACTGTGTAATAATTACACAAGGTGAGTACATAGAAAATTAACTTGCAACAGTGCTGCAAATAAGAAATACAGACTAGAATAAACATTATGTGAGTGCTCTTATAATATTTTTTTTCGGATTTCCCCCACAAAATCAAATATCGCTTTCATTTATTTAATAGCCACATCTTGACAATATTCGTAAAATTCCAGAACATTTTCATGCTTATTTATGTGTGTGTGTGGGGGTATGGGGCTAGGCAGAAACAATATTTCATCCCCAAGAAGCGTAGCTAGGAGATTGTACATGAAGCGATAGCCCCGGAGGGTCTTAGGGTCTATATTTTGGAATAACATTATTATCAATTGATGTGAGTGTTGGGGGGGGGGGGAGGTCCACACTTTTGGGATTTCACCAACCAGGCAGCACTTATGCAAGGTAGACCGCAGCTCTACAACCGACATCTAATGTTTCATATTTTTCATTGAGTATTTTTTTAAAGTAATGAATATCAAGCATTATTTTCGCATTTTGTTTTCGCATTTTTTTCCCGACCAAACTAGCTTGCATGATTCTTTTATTCTATCCATCCTCCAATTACCCCAAAATCCTCTCTTTGATGATTGCCGGGTTAGGAAAAAGTTTTTGACTTATGAACCAAACCTCACTTTTCTCTCTCTCTCTCTCTCTCTCTCTCTCTAACACCCTCATTCTATAATTAAATAACATAATTCAATGAAAAGATCTTATATTTACTCTTTGCTCTGCCAAATGTCCTGACACCGTAGCGTATGATAATGTGTTCTTGCTGGGTTTTTAGTCATTATTTTCGTGTGTGTGCTCTTTTCCGAAGGTAAATCACACCCAGCAAGTCGATATGCACAAGAGGACGACGATATCACATTGTGGATACTTACGCTTGCTCATCAAACGGTTTACCAGCCATAGGATTTGCTGCGTCGCAGCGTTGGCGACCATTGTGGGATCCCTCTTTGTCATCACCGCACACACAAACCTGAACCACTTGCTGAGGAACAGGTGCTCCGCTCTCCTCCACGTCAACCAGGCGTGGGAGAGGGAATCATCCGTTCGTGAAAACCCCAACCCCGTTCACGAAAATGCACAAAACTTGAACACGTATCTACGCGAACTAGCGTCATCGTACAGAGTGAGCGGTGCTAACTGCGCGGCCCTGCTCGACGGGGACAAATTGGAAATGTACAAATCGCGTTCGCTCAGCCGAAAAGTCAGCCCTCTACTGAATGATGACTTTTACACGAACGGAACGGAAAACTGCCAGCGTTTTAAAACCGGTCGTGGCTACGTCACCGCGGCGCTGACGGAGGAGGAGCGGGATTTCCCGATTGCATTTTCGATTCTAACTTTCAAGGATGCGGAAATGGTCGAGCGGCTTCTGAGAGCTATTTATAGACCCCAAAACTTCTACTGCATTCACGTCGACCGCAAGGCGAAAGATTCGTTTTATTTCGCCATGGTGAGGATAGCCGGCTGTTTTGAGAATGTCTTTCTTACCTTCAACAGGATTGACGTCATCTGGGGGACATTCAGCGTTCTGGAGCCGGAGTTGATCTGCATGGCTGAGCTCTGGCGTCACCGGAAATGGAAATATTTCATCAACCTCACGGGCCAGGAGTTTCCGCTGAAGACAAACCGGGAGCTGGTGAGGATTTTGAAGTCGTTCAACGGAGCTAACGTCATTCACAGCACTTTGAAAAGGTGAGAGATGTTTGTGTAGATCAGTGGGTATGGGAACTCCTTTTTTTTTTTAGCCTTTACCCTAAAATATATTTGTGTGTGCTGAAGTCACCCTAACCCGATGTGGAAGTAAAAAAAGCATAGACTATTAACAATGAACATGGTTCATTACATCTATTTATTATGAGAATACCATTACAAATATAAAGTTACTTAATAAATTCAATAAAGAAATTAATAAAATAATCATTATGGAAAAAAGGGATTTCTTTGAAAAATATGCCAACTTCAAATTGTCTTAGAAATGATTGGTCATTTTTTCTACAACTTCAACATTGGGGCATTTTTTTTTAAAGTCAGATAAATTCAGCAACTGTCTTCGGGATATGAACGTTAAACAGAATCCGGTTTACCGGTTTTGAAACCGAAAACAGGTTGTTGAATTTCAAAAACAGGTTGCTGATTTTTATCATATTAATAAAAGAAGAAGAAAAACAATGTTTCAAAAGTATATGATCAATCAGTAGGTCAGTAGGTCAGTAGGTCATTTATTATTGTTAATTAATAAAAAAAAAATATTTTTTCAATTAAAAAAGATGCTGTATGAGACAGTATGAGTATAACATTGGTAGGAAAAGTCGTGAAAAGGAAATAATATAATTATTTTTTATGAAGTGGACCGAAAATTCCAACCCCCACCCCCCTCCCTCCTCACCCCGCTACCACGTAAAAAAAAAAAAATTCCCGGACAAACAACTTCTCTGTCCCGTGTCCCCACGGCGGCCATTGGATGGTACTTTCTCATACAATGTCCCGTCGATCTGACCTGGCCGTGAGGAAAGACTTATCATGTTATGCATCAACACACTTGTGTGGGGTGACACCTGTTTCGAACACCTAGGTACGCCACTTGGTTACTCGAACCTGATAGGAAGGCTGAGACATGGTGGTGGGAATGATATTTTTTTGACGTATGTGTATTCAGAAACTGATGTTTATTTTATGGTCCAATGGAGCCAAATTTGTGTTGAACCATGTTATTATTATTTTTCTGAAAAAGATTTATGATTACCAATAATACGTGTTTAACCAATATTATTTTTTTTAATAGATTTATGATTACCAATAATACGTGTTTAACCAATATTATTTTTTTTATAGATTTATGATTACCAATAATACGTGTTTAACCAATATTATTTTTTATAGATTTATGATTACCAATAATACGTCTTTAATCAATACTATTTATTTTTTATATAGATTTATGATTACCAATAATACGTGTTTAATCAATATTATTTATTTTTTATATAGATTTATGATTACCAATGATGCGTGTTTAACCATGTTGTTTATTTTATGGATTTATGATTACCTAGATGTGTTTAACGATGTTTTATGACTACAGTGCTGAAACCAAACGGTGGGGACAAAGAACACCACCACATCACATACGACCAGTGAAAGGACCTGTCCACATAGCGGCCAATAGGTAATGCTCACATTCGGTTGTGTACATATAAAACGGTGAAATATCAGCCATATCATATATACATAACAATAGTACATAGGTAGGACATCATATGCCATAATGAAGGAAATTTTGAGAACAAGATAGACGTAAAATATAGAAGTCTTTTAGAAGGCATCATAGACATCAGCCCATTAGTAGGCATCACATACATCAGCCCATTAGTAGGCATCACATACATCAGCTTATTAGTAGGCATCACATACATCAGCCCACTAGTAGGCATCACATACATCAGCCCATTAGAAGGCATCACATACATCAGCCCATTAGTAGGCATCACAGACATCAGCCCATTAAGAGAAATCGCGTAAATCAGCCCATAACTATTACATATCTCAGCCCATAATTAGTTTCTATGCATATCAGGCTATAAGTAGGTAGTGAGTAAGGATCACACACCAAAGCAGACCGTAAGGAGTGATCACATGTGGCAGAAAACTGAGAGAGGTCACATAGATAATTCATGTGCAAATAAGCAGCTGGGATAGTTTCTTTCAGACATCAAGAAAAACCTGACGTGAAGAATTTACTCAGATCTTCAGTATTTGTTCATAGAAGTCTTAAAATGTGCCGATCAAATTACTTCCGGGGCGTCGACTGAAAAAATAAGATGCCGCCGACGCCACGGAAGTAATTTTGATGCGGCTTCTGTAATTGTTTTGAGGCTTTGTTTGATGCTTCTTTTGAAATCACCTAGTGTTAAATGTGTAAAAAGGTGCTTTTCAACTGATGATCTTGTGTCTTGTCGTGAATAACAGCGGTGGAATGAAATTATTGGACGTAGTAGTCTTCGGCCTAATTCCCATCCAACATCTTGTTTCCTACGGATCCAACAACTTACCCGCCATCTTGTACGACGGTGGGATCAGAGCAACAAACCAAGGAAAGTGGGATCCATACATTATGAATATCCATATGTATTTATGTATGGCATCTTTCCGTCTGTGAGAGACGATAGATTATCTTTATTGCTTGCAGCTCTTGGTGTGGCTAGTGAGACCAATCCTCGAGTGGCAGTCTCTGTTGCATTTCCCAAACACGAATGCGGTGGGGCAGTATTTACTGGCCTTCCTCCTGGTTCTTTTTACATATGTTCCCGCCCTGTTTTGCTCCTCGGCATGTAGTGATCCTTCCTTCACGATGTCCCACCATGTGGATCGATCCTCTGCCAGGTCCTTTCAGTTTGAGATGTCGATGTTGGCCGCCTTCATGTCTCTTCTGCATATGTCTAAGTATCTGAGACGAGGAGGTCCAACTGACTTTTTCCCTGTTGCCAGCTTTCTGTATAGCACATCCTTGGGTATGCGACCAGGTTGAATTTGCTTGACGTGTCCAAGCCAGTGGAGGCGTCTTTGGATTAATATGGCTGGGATGCCACCATGTTTGTTTGGGACAGGACTTCCGTGTTGGGGACTTTGTCTTTCCATTTAATGTCAAGGATGTGGCGCAGGCATCTGAGGTTGAAGCCATTGAGCCTTCTTTCGTGCTTGGAATATGTGGTCCATGACTCACATCCATAGATCGCATGGATTATCCATAAAAGCCAGGAAATTCCAGACTATGTTCCTTAACCATCATACACTCAAGAAGCTATTCTGACCACACAATGATTCACTCAAGAACGTAACAGCTGTTCTGACCACACAATGATTCACTCAAGAACGTAACAGCTGTTCTGACCACACAATGATTCACTCAAGAACGTAACAGCTGTTCTGACCACATAATGATTCACTCAAGAACGTAACAGCTGTTCTGACCACATAAGGATTCACTCAAGAACGTAACAGCTGTTCTGACCACATAATGATTCACTCAAGAACGTAACAGCTGTTCTGACCACACAATGATTCACTCAAGAACGTAACAGCTGTTCTGACCACATAATGATTCACTCAAGAACGTAACAGCTGTTCTGACCACACAATGATTCACTCAAGAACGTAACAGCTGTTCTGACCACATAATGATTCACTCAAGAACGTAACAGCTGTTCTGACCACATAATGATTCACTCAAGAACGTAACAGCTGTTCTGACCACATAATGATTCACTCAAGAACGTAACAGCTGTTCTGACCACACAATGATTCACTCAAGAACGTTACAGCTATTCTGACCACATAATGATTCACTCAAGAACGTTACAGCTATTCTAACCACAAAATGATTCACTCAAGAACGTAACAGCTGTTCTGACCAAAAAATGATTCACTCAAGAACATAACAGCTATTCTGATCACACAATGATTCACCTACCCTTTGTTGCGGACCAGTTTTGGCGGAACCAAAAAAAAAAAAAAAAACAACCTCAAAGACTTTGAAGACCTTTAGGACTGAAAGCAAAACATGCAAGATATTTTGTTTACAGTTCCCTTCATTTAGATCAATAAAAGCATCTCATCTCATATTATATCATCTTATTTTTAAAAAAAACGTCGAATCTTTTATTAAAGCGGACGTGTGTATTCGGAAACAAGTGGCCAGGGAGAGTGGCAGATGAGGAAATGAGGGGTGGGGTAAATGAATGGATGGATTGATGGACCTGACTTAAGAATGGCGGTCGGTGATTGAGTACATGGATATAATGGATAGATGCGGGATCTTTGGTGTTTGTCATCGATGGATAAAGTGATATGAATTATTGATGAGAGATTGTCACTAATATCCACACTGACTTAATATGTTAGTTTTCTGGATTGATGGAAGGTTGGATTGTATGGATACAATGATAAGTTGGATGATGCAAAGACTGAGGGGTTGGGAAGATAATTCACATTCAATGGGTGTACATATGGGTGCCTTTTTGGATCTTTAATTACATCATTGGTTCTCAACCTTCCTAATGCCGCAACCCTCTATTACAGTTCCCCATGCTTTGGTGACCCCGAACAATATAATTATTTTCGTTTCTACTTCATAAATATTTGTTTTCCGATTGTCTTAGGCGACCCATGTTTAAGGGTCAACTAAAGGGGTCGCGACCCAAAGGTTGAGAACCGCTGTTTTAGATTGATGGGTGCCTTGTTTGAACTTTGTTTAGACTTTCTCCCTGGTAATTTGACTTGTAAAAAATAAACAGCCAAACACAATCAACACTATTTATTTTTTCTTTAAAATAAAGGATTAGTCTTAAATATAATTGTATGCTCAATGTTGAAAATCTAAAATGCAATATATTTTTCCTGCACAATGTTGGGTCCGTTTCAAAAGTCTATCTTTTTTGCTGTTGTCTCAGACGTTTCGTTGACTACATCCTTCACAACCAGACGGCCCTGGACTTTCTGCAGTGGACCAGGCACACGGATTATCCTGACGAGACGTTTTTCACCTCGCTCAACTTCAACCCTCACCTGGGCATACCTGGCTCGTACTCAGGTAAACAAAGATGATAATACATATAGACTGTACGTTATAGCTGATATCCCTCCCCCCTTTTATCGACTGTCCGACGCACGTACATGACTTAACACTTTATATGACTTAAAAGATGGCCCCCGTTACTCCGCAAATCTTTAACTAAGGTCTAGGACTATGAAATTTGGAAATCCTGTTGGCCGGTACTTCAGCTGACCAATTACTGACCGTCGCAGTCAGTGCTGGACGCATCGCATGACACACACATATGTGATAGCAAAATGGCGAGTTGTGACTTAGAAGATAATTCTACTTGTAGACACAGTAAGATCAGATCTTCTAAGACACAATTCGTCTTTTTAACTTGCCGTAAAAATATAATTATATACATTTAAAAAAAAAATTATTTCATCCAAAGAAATCAATTATTTAGTTGTAGTCGGTAAATATGCCTTCTGGCCATTAAATATATATATATATATATATATATATATA